GATATTTACATTTACATTATGACTAGTGTGAATAACGATTAGCGACATTTTCAACTACATTTTGACAAGTTAAAATTCCTTTCAAGATATCTCAAATGACATCACTCATTTCACGTCACACACCTTTATTTACATTTGATCTCAAACGTAATTTTTTAAGAATTGCAAGGTCGACCCCTTCTGCTGCCAATGAGCTGTCCAAACAGTTGCCTGCAGAATTGTGGGTGCACTTGTCAGAAAAATGCCTTCACACACTGGAAGACTGCTTCAGAAATCTGCAAAGATTTTCTTGTTTAGTCACTTGCGACAAACACAATGCACTTAAAAAAAGGTTTTGAAAAGCTAAAAGTAAATTGAAGCCTCCATACAAATCAACAGTAAATCTCATGTCAATTATAATAGTCAGAATGTCGTTAAGAGATATCTTAATTTACTAATATGTATGGTCACTCATAAGAAAATTTCACATATCTTGAACGTGAGTGTGGTGAAATCGATTTTATGTTAAAACGGCTTGCCATAAACTCCTCCTTTTAAGGGAGTGGCATCCACTCAGAAGTGGAGACACACCGGATGCGGAACAGCCTGAGCTCCCTGCTTCATAGGAAACTGAAAGTTTTCTTGCTGATCGTGTTTCATCACGTTCAGGGATTGCCTTGCGTCATCTATTTTTTTCATCACCACACATCCCAGAATATGCTCTTTGTCCTGTCTTTTTCAACCATTAAATTACAGCGCCACTGGAATTTACTTTATCTTGAATTGCACTGGAATTTACAGGGTTTTAATTTTTAAGATTGGAGGACCGAGTGTTGTATTTGTTTTGAGTTTCAACTATAAGACTTGATTCCTTACATAAAATCATGTGAAAATCCGAGTTAAAACATTTAGCTGGACTATGTAATATTAATTTAAAGGCACATTTGATGCAGGATTGTGATCCCTCAGTAAAAAAATCAAGTTTCAGGTGAAAGCTTTAAGAAGAAGCTTTACCTTCACAGACCAGGGACCAGGTGTACCTTTAGATCCTTGCTAAATTGGTGTGCCACGAAACCACCCAGTTCCACAGAATTCAGACAACTCATTTAAACATTCATGTGGTCTTGACACTTTCAGTATCTGAATCATGCAGGTGTGAACTTGTCATGAGACTGAATCAGAGAGAGGGAGTTGTTTTTAGACAAATGGTATGAAAAACCAGCTGGTTTTGCTCCTTGATTCAAACTGGACACCACTTCCTCTTTCCAAGATTAGAATTTCATCACAGCATAGTACTGCTTCTTTTTTGCTCTGTATTCCACAACTCAAGCACAGAAATGGGGAAAAGGTCAAACGTCAGGTTCCTTTGTCCTGAAAGTCGCCACTGCGACTCCGCTTCGTCTCATTATTTTGCATCCGAGGGGAAACACCTTCCTCTATGTATCATTTGTGTCCTGAACACAAGCCGCGTTAGAGAAGATATTTCCACCTCACCGTGTAAGGACTAGAGTTCTCAGACGTGCAAATAGACTAGAAATGTGTCAGGAATAGGGAAGCGATACAAACTCTATAAAGGAACACTTCCATTTTTCTGGTCATAGGAAATAATATGCACGCTATTCAAACAGCCCCTCCAAGAGGAGAAAAGCCCCCAGTGGAGTCGTGGAACATTGTTATAAGATCCAACTTCCACATAATGCTAAGTTATTATGCATGCACAATGTTAACACAGTGGAATACAAATGTATTGAATTTTTCTACATTTTGTCACATTACAATCGAAAATGCCAATGCCAGATTGAGCATAATTGTGAAAATGATATCTGTTTTACTTTATTGAAAGACAGCTCTGGCTTCATTTGGAAGGAAACCATGAACTTTAATGTTCAAGTCTAACGTCTGTCCAGTCTCGAGCCTTTTGTAGACTCTCACAGGTTTTCTTCCAGGGTTTTTCCTTTCTTTAACTTTATCCATTGTCACATTCAGTTTGACCAGGTTCTCTTGCACTGCTGAATAAAAGGAATCCCAGAGTATAATGCTGCCATCACTATGTTTTACTGTGGCAATGATGGTGTGTACAATCTGTCACAAAGACCATTTCGCATGCAGGTCAACAAGTTTAACTTTGCTCTCATCTGACCAGAGCACATTCTTTTACAAGTTTTCTGTGCCCTCTGTGTGGCTTGTGGCAAACTGCTTTACTCTCCATTTTTTTTTAATGATGATTGAGCATTGATTCATGAGAGAATCAAAACTATACAAGTTGTTTTGCAATCCAGATTAGCTTCAAACATCTCCACAACTTTCTTTCTAAGCTCCCTGCTGTGTTCCTTGGCCTTTTTGATGCCATTTATTCTCAAATTTGCTCTTAAACTAGTGAGTTTAGAGTGCATTTAATGGTTGAGGCTAATTTTGCAACACCAATTTCTTTGTCTTTTGCTATAGAAAGTACAATTGGACCAGTTCTTTTGTGAGGGGTTTTATATCTCACTTTCTGTAATCCCAGGCATAGTAGACGTTCCCTCATAGTGAGCCTTATTTTCCTTGACGTCTCTTCCTAGTCAGTGACTAATCTGTGGCCACATGCTTGGCCATGCAGGATGATGGATTCATCCAGAGCTGTTAGATGTTAGAGCTTCATTAGACAATTTATATCAGCTGGTGTTAAATGATCAACTGAATCCAACTTTATTATATTATAATTTGGGTGTAATATAATCTGTGCAACACAGTTTTAATCTGCACATGTTTGGGTTGGGCTGATGATTTTGACAGTTTTGAATTTCATTGACAGGATTTGATTTTGTATCTGAATATGAACTGAAACTGCTTGTACGCTTCGATGACATTTGATGTGAATTAGCACCATCTAAATAAACTAATCCTTTAAGCAGTATGTTGATTTAAGATGGCTTACATGGTGCCAAAACCATACACGGAAGTTAGTTCTGAGAGGACAAACTTTCATTGTGCAGCTGCAGTCAGTTGTAAGTCTTTCACTGTTTTAAGGGGATTTTTACAGGGAATTCTTAAAACACTCATTCTTCATTCATTCCTCTTCTAATATTGGCTCTGTCTTCATCTATCAGGTGCAGATTCCCCACTCAGCCACGCAATCTCAGTCAGCCAATCTCCGACCTGCATGTGAGTCTATGAAACTGTGTGAACACATTGTTCACCAACTGTTGGGAAGACTTGAGTTTAAAACAATTCCTGTAAACAGACACACCTTTACCTGTACCTACTAGGCTGGCAGGCTTCATGAGTCTATTTTTGGACAGAAGTGAAACTAAGCTGTACTTGTTGTGATGGAAAATATGTCACATGGTGTCGTATTACAGTTTAAAAAGATAGGAACAACCGTTTCTTAAAACACTGGAATGTTGCTCCAAGAAGACACAGCGAAGATCACAGGTGTGAAAAGCAAACATTCAATTAAAAGTACAACTGACATTTTAACTAAGAAATTCACACCTTCTAGTAGCTTAATAAGATTTGTAAGGCTTGTCATAGTCAAATTTAAAATTTAACTTGCAAAGGAATAACAATATTCAGTTTCATTTGGCTCTCTTGTGATCAGGATATTCAATTAAATGGCAGAAGAGATACCACAAGACCAACACTAACAGCTGAGTAACAGAGATCGCTAGAGAGTTCCTTAAGTGCCCCCTACTGGTGACAAGGAGAGGGAAAACTCCTTCAACACTTGATATATACAAAATTATGGCATTTGAAAGGTAAAAACGAGGGTGGCGGATGGTCGGGTATACCACGGATGTACCCGACCACCCCGGATACAGCCATTTTATTACCATGGCTTTGAAAGAGTTGAAAGCCCAGAGATTTTTTAATGTTTTCTTTCAAAAATGCTTTTTAATACCTTTGAGTAATGTATCTGTATACATATGTATATGTATGTTGCTGGAAATAATAGTTTAATTATGCAAGTTTTAATGATGTTTAACTTAGCACATGTTGAAATATAAGTTTGATCGTGATTGTTTTGAGTAGGCTTCAATTTGGGTTAGATTTAGACTTATGGTTTAATATATAACTTAATCAGTAGAACAATTAGTTCTTAGATATAAATCTCACATTTTGATTAGAATTAGTCTATGTAGTAGAGTTTTTCATATTATATTACATTCTTAAAAGTGCATAAGTCATATATTCATCTGATAAACATTTTAGGTCATTATAACCAAAGAAGTAGAACAACTAAACAGAAAATATTGAGTGTAATAGATGTTTTAGTATTGAAATTGCTCATGTCTGTTTAATATGAATTTGAAGATATTATATGAAACACGTGCTAATTTTTATCATCAAAATCTGCTGTTTAATGCACTGGGTCAGAGGAGCTCTGTTGTGGAGTCGGGAACCAGTTTTAAGCAGTTTGAAAGGATGGAAAAACCACGGACAGTTGATAAACTTCGGTCCTGTGTTCTAAATGTTTCCGTATGAAATAAGCACATCTATTGTTCATACCCTGGAAAAGTACACGGGGAGGATGGCTTGGACAGCGGATAGATTCATCCCTTGACCTTAGTAACACCTGCATGGTCTCTGGTGTGCAAACAGCAGCCCATCTTTGCGGGCTGTATGCAACCACCACACTTTGAGATTCATGGGTCTACAATTCATTTCACTTCGAATTGGATTATAATGTGTAATGTCTCTTTCAATCCACCAGAGGGTGTCAGAGACACATTTTTATTTCTTGCCTGTAGAGCTGTAGCGCTTTCATGCTGACTTCCTACAGTGATTTTTTGCGCCAAAGACTTTTAAGCATAAACAACAGGTTTCTTGGTTGTTGTACGACGACACATGAAGAGTAAACAAACAAACAAACAAACAAAACAATAATTAGGGAATGGACACATTTTAAAGTCAAGCGAGGAAATCTTGCAGATTATTTTTTCGCCCTTCGACTGTCCAGTGAAACGTGGTGCTGAAATTCCACATCTGTGAGACCGGACTTAAGAACTGGTTTTTTTTTTTTTTTTTTTTTTTTTTTTTTCGAAAACGTTTTTACAGCTTTTTTGAATCCAGCTGGACTTGCTTTGAATAGAGAGGTCACGGCTTTATTTGATCTACACACAGTGAATTTGATGTTTTGACGAACTTCTCCTCATACTAGCTTCGTCACCTTATTATTTTCTGCTTTTTTGAGACACGCTTGCAACTTATTTTCTCTTTGCAAATTTGTCGCCTAGATACGACAGTGAGCGTCCTTGGTATTTACGATTGTAAATAGCTTCAGGAGAAAGATGGTCGAGGCTGGGGAGGTGGCGGCGTCGGTGGTGGTGGTGGGGGTGGAGGCACTGATAATTTGAAGACGTGCCAGAGTTACAATGTTGGATTCAAAAGGCATTTCAAAGAACCGAACTATGCACTTTTTCCCTTTATTCCCCACTCTTTTTCTTCTGTCTGTATTTTTTCCTCCCTTTCTTTCTTTTCGCACGGTTGCAGGCCGTTTGAATCGACCAATGGGCCTTCAAGTTGGAGACATTGGAATGTAAATGAGCCCAGCGCGTGCTCCCGGCGCAGTGAAAGCTCGGGATTGTTTATTGAGCTCCCTGAGCCACGCGCCTGGCCCGAGGGGGAGTCGGGCTTGCTGGAGAATCACACAGCGGGGGCGGGGCATCGCCACGAAAAGCGTGCGTCTCCCCAAAAAGAGGGGTGTGGGTGGGGTGCGTGCTGGGGCGCGTGTTGAAAAAGAGGAGTGCTGCCAAAGTTTGGGTCAGATCGGCTCGTGGAGTGTAAGCAGTCAAGAGAGAGTTGGACGAGAGTTAGCCACACGGTCCCCACGCGAAGGACACGAGAGCTGAACACTGCCAAACCCACTCACTTACTCTCTGAATTCATCACGTTAGAAGCTCTGTCAGCGAGATGGAAACTGCGACCATCACCACCACGCAGACGGCATTCACCTTCGGACGTGCCACCATCAGTCTGCACGCACCGGCCCAGGACGCAGCGGGACCCGCAGCGCACCCGAACGCCAGCGCGGCAGTCGCCTTCCAGAGCAAAACCAAGGTGCTGAAGAGACAGCGCTCCAGCTCCCCGGAGCTGCTGCGCTGCAAGCGGCGCCTGAGCTTCAACGGCCTCGGCTACTCCATTCCACAACAGCAACCCGTGGCCGTGGCCCGGCGGAACGAGAGGGAGCGGAACCGGGTCAAGCAGGTCAACATGGGCTTCCAGACGCTGCGTCAGCACGTGCCGAACGGCGCCGCTAACAAGAAGATGAGCAAAGTGGAGACGCTCAGGTCCGCGGTGGAGTACATCAGGGCTCTGCAGCAGCTCCTCGACGAGCACGACGCAGTCTCAGCCGCGTTCCAGTGCGGGCTGCCGTCCCCGACGCTCTCCAACAGCTACTCCGCCGACCCGGAGTCACCTCACTCCACCTACTCATCAGACGAAGGCGGCTACGAGCCCCTGAGCTCAGAGGAGCAGGAACTGTTGGACTTTACAACCTGGTTTGACAGATACTGACGCCGCCAGCGCCGCAATCAAACTCTTTTGGCAATGAATCGGACTTCTCGCAAGAAGTGCTGACACAGCTTTCTGCAGCCTGCGCGCTGTGCTTGCAGGTGATTTGTATCCCTTGAAGCTTCTGAGGGAGCAAAGCAATAGTGAGAAAGTGAGAGAGGAAGCATCCTGTCGCAGATAAATAGCGGCCACCTTCCCTCCCTCCTCCACCCCCTGAAAGAAAGAGAGGAGCTGGACTCACACTGGCGCGTGAAAAATGTTGACGCTCTGTTTGATTAAGTGCAATTAAGCTGCGACGCAGCAGGATAAGTGCAGAAACGGTGCTGAAATTCCTGCAGGAAACACGGACTGCCTTCCTCACCTGCTGCACTTTTTTTTTCCTCCTGGAAGATGACGCGTCAACGGACTTTTTCTCAGTTATGACGTAGTACTTTACATTTCGTAACACTGTAACATAGGACAAAATGTTTTAACACGGAGACATTATTTTTGTACAATGAGCCAAACAGAAATGTTATTACTGCCACTTTTTTTTTTTTTTTTTTCTGACGGCGTTGTTGCCCTGAGAAGCAGCTGTCAGGTATGGCATGTGTGACGCGTATGACTACCTGTGACCGATTGTAGTGTTTTTCTTGTTTTTGATAGAGAACCTTTATTGATGTATGCACTTGTTTCTCGTAGTCGAAAATGTAAATATTCGATTTTAACAGATATATTTTGTGTAAACAAGTTTTTTTTTTAAATAAATAAAGTTAAACCTATTTATATTATGCCTTTGCAGTGTGCTGGTTATTCACTTTATCTTGGGTGTGTGTGTGTGTGTGTGTGTGTGTGTGAAGTAGAGAGAGGGGGCCACAAGTGTGCTGGACGGTAATTGAGCAAACTATAGGGAGCTTCTCCTCTATTCAAAGCCCCATGCGTGACCTTTTCCCGACTTGGTTGTGCACACGGGGAAAATTGCGCAGCTGGGTGAGCACTCAATAACCATTATTGACGCGCACCTTCCACGGCGCTTTGTGCGCATTCAAGGCGGGGAGATTAATATTACGTTTCATGCATCGTATTGTTTTCTTTTGCATACACCAATAATAGCTCGGAGTGCCTGGGGCGGAGGGAGAGGATGGAGAGGCGTAGGTGGGGGCTGCAATTCATTTCACTCAAAGGGCATATAGACACTTTGAAATATAGCTCGGGGAAAGTCAGCGAGACAATAAGGCGGGTCAAAATTCTTATTGCCCGATTGAGATCAATCTAAATAAAACCTGGGGTTGTAAGGCTGCTTGTATCCCCGACTGTGTTTTTCACGGAGCACACAAGCCAATCAAGAAGCCCGTCTCCTACCAAAATGGGGAGCACAACACCCCATTGTGAGCGCCATTGTGCGTGGCTTTTGCGCCTCATTATGCGAATTATGGAAGATCTTCTGTTGTAAACAAACACCCGAAGCTTAATTCAGGGAGGCAGAAATGGAATGAAAGAGGATTCATTTCACCTGGATATGGCAAGTCGTTGAAAGTGTAATATTTGTTACTTCTTATAACTTTGACTGAATATCTCAAATTACGGTGGAACTGATGGAATAACTTTTAATGTTAAAATGAATCTCATGGTTATGAAAAACATTAACTCGGAATCTCATATGACTGTAAAATCAGAGTTATGATAATGGAGGATATCTGTTATCAGCTTGAAATGACAAAATATGACTGGAACTAAACCTAGGAATTTGCATGTCATAATTATGATTGTGGCAGTCAAAAGTGTTACTTTAAATGTAAAAAGTTTCCTAAAGTTTAAACATGAGTTTGGAATTGAAATGATGAGTTAAATGTTGTAATTGAGTTTGCATATCATTAAGAGTGCACAAGTCAAAGCCAGAATTGTTGCTTTGAATCCCGTATTGTGACTTTAATAATCAGAAATTTGACTTTGAATCTATTATTTGTGAGGTAAAGGGTCACAATTGTGACTTGAAATCTCCCAAATCTTATGTGTATATATATATATACATATATATATATATGTGTATATATATATATATATATATTAGAAGTCAAATTATGACCTTTAATTTAATAATTCTTACTTCAACTCATACTGATTCATCTCAAAATCAAAATCATGTGTTCAAATTTTAAATGTAGCTTTGCATCTCGTAATTATAACATTGAATGTCAAATTTATTTCTTTGAGTCTTGCGACTTTGAAACCTAAAATAATTAGTATCTTACAAATGTGGATTTGTATTTCGAAAACATAACCTAAGATAATCAGATCATAATGATGTATCTTATATTTATTACTTTTAACCTCATGTCCAGTTGTATTTTTATTTCAAGGGGTGGAAATGGGCTTTTCCACATAGATCTTTTTGAGGGAAAAGGTGGAACCAGACATCATGTCTGATTTGGGTCCAATGAAACTTTTTTTTTTATAAACTAAAACAAAAAAAGTTTCCTCTGCTTCTTCTCCTTCTCCTTCTCCAAAGCAGACTGGAAGACAAACCCAACAGCCTGCAGGTGTGAGACACGTGCCCTGCGTTCAGTGACAAAGCCTCTCGCGCTCCTATTGGCTCACGGCTCGCGCATGTGAGGCCTGTCAGGTGGAAGCAGCGACAGAATCAAACAAGTGATAGATGACATTAATTACCCTCTCCATTATAACCTTTAACGCCACAGAGGCTCAAAAAGACGAATCAATGCGAGGCGCAGAAGAACCCCCGCTAGTCCACTATTGTTGGCTCGAAATGCGGTTTCTTACGCGGTCCAGTGTCAGGCAGAGGCCACGGCACCAAGCGAAAATAAGAGCTTTTCCCTCGTCCCGTTTGGATGGATATTCTATTCTTTCCTCGAGGAGCTGAGGGGGGAAATGATTTATCCATGTCAGCTTGTGCATGGGTCATTTTCACCTCCACAATATATAAGGGTCGCTTTAATTTTAGCTCGACATCAATCACCAGCTGTTCCTGACTGTTTTCTTGCGCAATAGAGCTGACGCATGAGTAAACAGGAGTGCTGATTGGTCATCTGTTGCAACTACCAGAATGGTGAGATGGGTTTCCGTTCATTGGGAGTTCTTTGGAGTACTGTTTGAGGCGAAATCCTGCGGCAATCCATGCTTACCAAAACCTCTTCTAAATCCTTTTCATCTAAATTTGTTTATCTTTGCCAAGACCTGAAATATTCTGAAATATTGGATCACTTTTATTGAGTTGTGCTTCACTTAATCATCCTTTGTTAAGTAAATGTGTGCTTTTCTTTAAGTTTTTCTCCTTTAGTCAAAATTAAAACACAAACTTCAGTTTATTTTATTGGGAAGTCATGAGCTAGATCAACACAAAGTAGCACAGAAAGCCACTATTAAAAGATGAAGTCCTACAGTAGGAGCTCTTCTTTAAACAAAGCCAAATTTTAACAGGCATCATTACAGACAAAAAAAGAGAAAGAGATAAAAACTATAGATGAACATTACCTTGAACACATCATTCCCAGAGCTTAACATGGAGGTGACAGCATCATCCTGTGGGGGGCTTTTCTTCAGCAATGATTTTGAACCTAGTCAGAGGTGACAAGGCCGTGGAGGGAGTCAAATAAAGGGCAATGCCACCAAGCACTGAAAAGGCCATTCACTCATTCATTTAAGGCAAGTGTCCAGTAGTAGAAAAAGTCATAAAACATGCATGACAGTGGATCCCGAGGATCAGGGACACAAAGTCCAGATCTATAAATTCAACTGAGAATCTGTGGCAAGGCTTAAAAATTGATGTTTGTAGAAACTTTATCTGATCTGACCAAGCATTGGGGTATCTTACAGAGAACAATGGACAAAGTTTAGATTCTATGAAATATGAAAACCAGAAAAGTTTTTTGGCATATCTCAAAAAAAAAAAATAAAAAATCAACTGCAATTTCCACAAAACGAAGTTCTACAAAGCATTTAAAATGGAGTGGAAGCAGAAAACAAATGCATGCCACACATTTCAGACTTTGTTTCTTTATGATAAATTTTGAAAACTACATACTGGTAATGTTCAGTCAGTACATAGTTTGATTGAACTTTTTAAAAGATTTTTTTTAAACTTCTGTTTGTAGAGAGACAAATCTTAGAGCCAGCATCCAGTATATTTACTTTTTATTGTGATAAATGATAACATACTCTTTTATATAAAAAAAAATCTGAAAATATGAGTTTGATCATTGGCTGTGAAACCGATTTAACTGCACCGAACAAAAATATAAACACAAGACTTTTTTTTTTTGTCATATTGGGGGTGGAGAGGTCAGAAGAAATTAACCCTAATGAAAAAATTTATTATTTTTTTTTTGTTTGGGGAGGACAGGCAAAGATTTTCAATCCAAGCATATATGATAATAAATAATAAATGTCTTGGGTTTATACTTTTAAAACAAAGAAACTGAAGATGGAACATGAAAGTGAATCAGACCCTGTGCAAAAACGAGGTCCTGTGCAGCCTTGAGCGCAGCGTTAATGTTTAAGCAGAAGCTCCACATGAGTTTATCTTTAACACAGACAGAGAGCATGCTGAACTGATGTAGCTGTCTCATTTATCCCACCACCACCCACTTACCTTCTACACCGAGCCCCCTCTCAAAACACATACACACACAGCAGCTGGATAAGAGACAAGCTGCAATGTCCTTGTTTTCCCTCTGCAAGCGTCGGTTCTTTCCAGGTACTCCAGTTTCCTCCCAAAGTCCACAAACATCATTGCTAAACTACCTGGTCTCTCTAAATTGCTCTTACGTGAAACTTCTTATAAAGAAGTCAAGGATTGTGCCTTGTCTATCTCATTTCCTTATATCTCTCTGATATTTTTTTATGATTAAAATTTATAATAGTTGTATGCCTGAGCCTGCAGGTCTTTCTGGGTTTTGAAAACATAGGTTATGCTTGATATTTGAAGCTTTTCCATGTGTCGTGTATTTTCAGTATAAATAAGCTGTTTTGTGAAGGCCTCAGAGGTTTGTTAGAAATCTTGGGAAACAAACAGCATCACAAAGAAGAAAGAACACAGCAGACCTCAGCAATAGAAATGTGGGGAAATTTGGAGCAAGACTAGCTTAATAAAACAACATCTGGAGACACAACTCAGACTCTACCAAGTCATGTTGATCAATGAGCACCAAATGGTGGGCCAGATGTGAGCTGTCCATGTGAGTGCTACTAGCAGTTTACCACAAGAGATGCTCTTCCTGAAGTCTGAGCGAGGTGTGACTGAGAAATAAATGCATGCCGCACTTTCCAGGTTATCATTCATGAATACATTTGAAAGCCATCCATCATTCCCTTCCATTTAATAACTATGTGATGCATTGTGTTGATTTATCACATAAAAAAAACAGTAAAATAAATTGAAGCTTGTGGTTATAATGAAAAAATGAAGTAAATATGTGTATTCTTTCAGCCAGTGCATTTACTGCACAAATACCTTTATATAATTCTAGGACAGGCTTTTAAACTGGTGCACAACTTGTCAGAAGAAAAAGTGGAATCTGTTTTCCAAAAGATCTTTTCCATTGCAAAAGTTTTTCCATGACATTTTATTTCAGAAATTCCCACAATCTAGCAATCAGGTCACCCACCCAGTGTTTCTGAAACATTCCACCAACTCCGACTTTTAGCAAACCAGTTCCCGGCATGCAGCTGCCAAGTCACTTTAACATTCTGACAAAAAAGTCAACTCGCGATTTTCTTCTATCTCTCCTAAAGAAGAAATCTTTTCCTTTTTAACAGAAGACCAAAAAAGAAAGAAAGAAAGAAAAAAAAAGCAATTCTAAATGCGTGCAGCCAGGCACTTTTAACTGACACCTCTCTGAGTGAGTGAATAGGCCTTAAACTTCAGATGACCCAGTAGAAGAAGAACCAAGCTTGGGCTTGAAGGATGGAAGGATGGAAGAGGTGGGGATGTGTGGCTGGGTGGAGGTGGCGGGGCAGTTATTTGCATGGCCCATTGTGCTGCACAAGTTTGGGTGCTTTTTTTTTTGGCTTGGGCCCTTTTGGCCATTTACTTCCACTCTGGCTGGCTGTGGCGAGCTGTGAATAGTCTCTGCTTGGAGGAGACACAAAGGCGCTTTTGTGCTACGGCCGCACCATATTCATCATGTAATGCCTGTAAGACAAATCTGATTGGACGTCTCTGTCACTTTGATGTGGGTCCAGAGTGCGAGTGGCCCTGAGATTGCTAACTTCACTTTCTATTGCCTATTCTGTGGCATTGATATGGGGGGTGGAGGCAAGGAGCTGGGAGTGGGGGGGAGGGGGTCAGGAGAGGTAGCTTGGGGGAGAATGAGCGAGCAGGCAGGGGGTAGTCCTCATTATTTGCAGGAGCAAATTCATAATAAATTTCCCCATTCTACACAACCGGGTCGAGATGATTGACACTACTTTACGCCAGGCTGAACAAAAGGCCTGATTTGAGCAGAATACCAAATGAATGGGGTGAGCGTGGATTCAATTCAAACAATTTTAATCTCTCCCTGTCCTCCCTTATTTCTCCTCTCCCCCTTTTCCTCACTTACCCTTTTTTTTCAGCTCCAACTCCACTGCCTCTTTTGTCGAGAGCATTCTCATTTTACAGGGTAATTCTACTCCAACGGATGTGCTAATTGTGCTGGGTTAAACTGGACGCTGGTGGACGCCTGTGATACAGAGCTTATTCTTGCCTAATGACTGTAATGATGGTTCAGAGAGACTGCAGCCTGCAGTCTGGGTGACTTGTGTAAAACTTTTTAGAGGTAGAGCTTTTTTCTTTTTTCTTCCCTCCTTTTGATTCATGCAGGCTGTTAGGGAACACAGAGCAAAGATAGGCCTCATGGGGGGGATTTAGTTAGGAAAAGTGCATCATAAAAGAAGCAATATTATTTAACAGTGGCTCAATTTGAATTCTGTCGCTGCAGGACAAACGTCACGCTTCTGTGAAGGAGTAAAACATTTTCCTGAAGTCATTAAACTTCACCTGTAAGCAGGTACGAGTTTACATCTGAGGTAAATAGGTAATCAGACTTGTGCAGCATTATCTGTACAGAGAACACAAAAAGACGGAAATTCAAATTTGTTCTCACAAGTGTGTAGATTAGTGGGAAGAAGACCTGGTACTGCAAGTTGCCGCTTTCCTCCGGTGGTTGATAGTGGAACTGCATTTTGTCTCTGCACTTTTTATTGTTATGCTTTTTATTTTCACTCCCCATAAACATTTCCACATTTTGTCATATAATGTATTTTATTGGAATTTGTGCAATAGAGCAAGCAGTGTATAATCACAAAGTGGAAGAAAATGCACAAATGTTTTCCCAATTTTTTTCCCCAAAGAAAAATCTGCAAATAAATGTGTGTGTGTGTGTATATGTGTGTGTGTGTTGGTATACATGGTTTAACCTGCCTTTTGACCTGAATACGTACTTATGTTACACAGACCTAAGGGTAATACAAGGACAATGCCGATGTCCTCATAAATCAAGGAGTGTATTTTAAATTTTGAGTATCTAAACACTTTTTCTCATAAATCTAAAGTTTTATAGGGACTATGCCGGTGTTTGCATGATGTGGACCATGTATTTGTACTTTTCAGTATATAAACAGTGTGATATCTCACTTTCTTTAATTGTCCTTTTATACCATGTGACCTGAGATTTGTGTATTCCAGTGTATAACACAGCGGCCTGATTTCAGTGTATGAATTGCACTTTTACACACATTTTTCATACACTACGCGCGCTTTTAGCCGGTCATCATCTGATTGGCTGGAAAAATCTTGTGGGTGTGTCTGATTACCAAACAGTCCCGGACGCCAAGTTTTTAAAAATTAAATCCCCATTTGAAGCCGCAACTCTCAATATGGACGTGTTGGTGGAATAACTGTGCACAGGTAAGGATAAATGGTAAATTAAAAATACATTTTGCCTGGATAGTTATTTGCAAGTAAATAAGTGCAAATGTAATGAAGAATTTTGAGCAAAATTAATTATTTTAGATTTTAATTTAGGTGACATGAAAGCTAACCAACTTATTTTGGATATTTACATCAAGTAACTTAGATATGTATACTTTTATGACTGAAAAGACTTACCTGAAGCAGTATAGTTTTTATTCCGAGTGTTTTAAAGTAAGAGACTAGCTTGCTAGGAGAGCTAGCCTTGTAGCTAGACGAAACGTGTTTGACAAGTTGACAATGTCTGGAGTAGATGGTATCTGTGTGGTACCATACCCCAAACAGGTACCACCTAGCTTTCGGTGGTAAAAGCTGGGTGATAGACTAAGGTTGTCATCATTATATTTAATGATATTGGCAAACTGCTTGCTTTATGTTAGCTATTTGCGTAGACGCTCTGCTTGTTAAGCTCGTTAAGCTTGATTGCCTTCGGTCCTGCTGAAGAGCAGCAGGAAATTAATAAGAAGTAAACACACAGGTTTCTGTGAAACTTGTTTATCTTTTAGAAAAGCACTAATGGTTGAATGTTTGAATAAATGGATGCAATAGGGCAGGTGCACCGATGGCTTTAAAGCTGTGTACTGTAATTACTTCGCTGACTTCAGCAACTTAAATGCTGAAAGTGTAAACCAGGAGTCCTCAAATTCAGGCAAATATAGGCGTCCTTCAACTTTTAAATGTGTATTTGTACCTTAATTAGCTGAATAACCTCACATACAGCCAAATTCTCCAGATTTCTGACCTCATTATTTGATTTAGGTGTGTTGAAGCAGGGATGCATTTAAAAGTTGGAGGAGATTGTACCTGGATGACTGACTAAAAGATTTAAAAGATTAACAAAATTCATTTGTGCAAAAAACTACCCTTTTTCCTTAAATTATGGCTCAAGTGTTCTTGTAAGGCTGTACTATTGGCTGAACCTCAACATATTGAACACTGATCATTGTATGAACTATTTGTAGATGGTAAAGCACTTTTTAAATCAGTGATTAAATACATTATAGTGTTGGTGTTTTATCTGAGGTATGTACAGTGGCCGACAGATGCAAATGCGCAGCAACAGAGAAAACATGCGAACAAAAAAAAGACACATGCACAAATGAAATGCAGCAAACATAAAAATAGACGCAAACAAAAAGCAAATAAAATGCAGCAAACAAAAAAGACATGCAAACAAAAAAGAATACAACCACAAATGAAATGCAGCAAATAAAAAAGAGAGACGCAAACAAAAAGAGAGACGCAAACAAAAGAAATGATGCAAACAAAAAGTGCTGAAAACCGGAAGTGCTCCAGAAGTGCTGTATTACACTTAAAATTATACAAAATGATTTTTTACAATGTTTTTAGGCTAGAATGTAAATGTATAGATCAGAAATATCTGCTCAGTTCATCAATAAATCACTTAATTACAATATTGATCTGACGTTTTTGGAGATGTCTGCTCCCGCTGCATTAACAGCCAGCTCCCCTCGCCAGCTGTCAGCTGGCCGGATGCTCCATGTTCGGCACACCGAGAGAGAACCCATGTCTCCCGGTAAATTGTTTTAAAAACTCCCGATAGTTTGCCCTATGAGTGGAGGTGAAACACAGATATTAAGCCAGGTAATAGCTGTAAAATTTTTTGGTTCACTAAAGTATTTAATTTATTCCTGAGCAAATGGGTTTGACTGATTAAAGCTAAGCCTTGCTGCATTTCATTTGTGGTTGTATTCTTTTTTGTTTCCGTCTATTTTTATGTTTGCTGCATTTAATTTGTGCGCGTGTCTTTTTTTGTTTGTTTGCATGTTTTCTCTGTTGCTGCGCATTTGCACCTGTCGGCCACCGTAGGTATGTGTCTTGCATGCATAACATGTTTCCATAGTTATAATTTAATTTTTAGCTTTAAAGCTTGTAGGAATTACAAAGAAGCCTGTAATTCCTTATTTGACTGTTATAACTTTTCATACATGCCAGTAAAACATGCAGAGGCGAAGACGCATAAAACCGAAGGAAGATGCCAAATATTATATTGATACCAAAACGGACAAAGTGGGGCTTGACGTCAAGTACATCAGTGCCTTTAAAGGTATGGGTATTTTTGGGGGGTGGTTTAATTACAGTCAAGCCTTTATACATTGTTTACTCTACTATTATTTTTGCTTTCTTCATTAGGTCGTGGTATTTTTGCCACAACCTCTTTTCAGAAAGGAGACTTTCTGTGTGAGTATCAAGGTGAACTGATAAGTAAAGAGGAATGTGAGAGGAGACAGAAAATTTACCATGACAACCTTAAAGTTTTCTTGTTTGAATTCTACTTTAATGGAAAACTCTGGTGGTGAGTATGTTTGTATCAGAAGTCTAATTAGAATGGCATATATGTAAATGAATGTGTTTATATTTAAAATGCAATGTTATATATTTGCAGTGTTGATGCAGCAAAAGAAGATGGCTCTCTTGGAAGGCTTATAAACGATGACAATATCAGCCCAAATGCCAAAATGAAGTATCTGACCGTGCAACAGAAGCCACATTTGTGTTTATTTGCAACTCGAGATATCAATCAGGGAGAAGAGATTACGTACAATTATGGGGACTCAGACTGGCCATGGCGACTCAAGGTACTAAAAAAATCAAAATTTATGAATCTTAAGACTATGTTCATTTAATATGCTAATAATGATGATTTACAACCTGAACCTTCTTTGTTTTACCATTCTTTTCACAACAATAGATGGCTGACTGTACAAGACATTGCTGTGCAAATTAACCAGTTTCCCGCAAATGTATAATAAATAATTACAGTATGATAGTATTTACGCCGTTTCCAGAATTCGAAATACTTAAGTCAACCATCAGACTATTTTCTCTGCTACATCACAGAAATTCTTCTGTGGGGAAAAATAATCAGTCTTTCTTCTTTTTCACAGGAGTTGGAGAAAGAAATGTCTCAAAGTCCTGACTGTACTCATTCAACTTCTACAACTGACAACACAGAACAGGTACAGAAGTTGGGTTTTTATTTTGACTTTACCAAACATTTTGGCTGGATTTAAAACTAGTTTCCTTTCATGGGTGTTTGCTCTCATAGAGCACCATTACTTTATTGAGGATATCTCCGTAAATAAGTCAAAGGGAATATGGTGTTGACTTGTATTTATTTTCTGTTTCAGGTCAGAGCTGAAAATGACCAGGATCAGATGACAACCAGTGTCCCAAACGAGACAGATCCAGTCCTGGATTCACTCCCCATCAATTCAGAGGTATTTTATAATTAATGTGTAGCTAAATGATGTCAGTCAGCCAACCTGTTCTACTTAAGTGTGTCTGTGTGTGCACCTGAATGCCATGTGGTTTATAAAGACATTGGTTTGTAAGGACAGTCTCATCTCATGGTTTTTAGTTTGTAAGTTCAGTGAGTGTATGTATGTTTCATGGTCAACTGCCC